TCCATGAAACTTCTTACAACGCCGCTTCTGCCGCTTCTTTGGAAGCTGCGTTTTGCTCTGCAGAGGATGGGGGCAAATCTGGGAGCATCTGCCTGCTCCCTGTCCAGGGCACAAGCGTGAGAGCTGCAGGAGGTGGCGGAGGGGACCCCTGGCTCCCAGGGTGGTGGAGGCAGCTTTTGGGGGGTAGAGGCATGAGAGGACCCTGCTGTATCCAGGGGATGTGCTTGGAGAACCCTAAATTCCACAGCCTAAAATGGTAGCTCAAAGGTATTGGCGTGGCTGCTCACCTGAGGGGCTGTTCCAGCCACTTTCTTTCTCCTAAACACCAGGATTTTCACATTATTTAAAACCAGACACCTCCACGGTGGCTCTGTGGCTGCAGAGGTCGGCACCGAGCCTGTGTAGCCTCAGGACTCTGCCCAGGCAGTTTACCCAGACACATCTCAGCTGCTTTTTGCTGTGTTTTTCTGGAACTTGCACAGCCACATCCATGGAAAGGCTTTTTTGACCTATGTGGATGAATGAGATTTCTTTCCCAGCTTTTAAGGTGTGGTGTGAGCCAGATGTGTCCTCTCTGGACACTGTTTTCCTGAGCGTGTCCCTGCACATCTTTCTCCTACAAGGCTGGTGGGTGATGGGGAGGTACAAGGACCCTGCAATTAAAGCAACAAGGAGAACAAAGGAAAAACCAGATGCTTCTTTGAAGCACACGCAAGTGCAGGGTTGTGGTTTTACAGCCCAAATACCATTGCTCTTCTTTCAGGGCAGACAGGCAAGCTGATGTACGTGATGCACAACTCCGAATATCCCCTCAGCTGCTTCGCTCTCTTTGAGAACGGTCCCTGCCTCATAGCAGATGCCAACTTTGACGTCCTCATGGTGAAGTTGAAAGGCTTCTTCCAGAACGCCAAGGCCAACAAGATAGAGAGCAGGGGCACCCGCTACCAGTACTGTGACTTCTTGGTGAAGGTGGGCACGGTTACAATGGGGCCCAGTGCGCGTGGGATATCTGTGGAGGTAAGAATCGGCTTTAAGGGGGTGAAATGCAGCTACAGACAGGGAAATCCCTTGTTGGAGGCGAGACAAAAGATCCCCTGTCCCTTTTCTGTCTCAGTTGTGTTGTTTGCTGCTGGTAGTTTGTCCCAGATGCGTTCATGTATGCGGCAGGCAGGGTATTTATCTCCTCCTCACTACCAGGTTTAATGCAGCAGGTATTCGTATTCTGGGGCTCAGCTGCAGCTACAGAAAAGCCTGTCGTTGAAGTGTCAATAAACAAAACCCTGAAGGGATGCCATCAAAGTAAAAAGCTGCTTAAAGTCCTGATGCACACCACCAGTAGCACACTTCAGGTTAATCAGCGTACCGAGGGGGACTAAATAACCTCTTCAGCTGCTGATTCAGCGCTGATTTGGGTTTTGCTTGCTTTCTCCATCTGGAGCAGACGCAGCCCTGGGAGAGCAGGGCCCTCCCGCCCCAGGTTGTGCTCAGGCGGTGCAGAGGTGGTTTTCTCCTCACCAGAGAGCTTTTGGCAGGCGCCGGTCAGAGCTTGTGCTTTCTCTGAACACACAGACCCCGTTATCTGATGTACAATTAATCCACTGCACCCACTCAGGCAGGTGTTCCTAGTCAGCAGGGCTGGGGATTGAGAAACGCCTTATTTCTTCACTGCTCTAAACACAGATGTTGTAGCGTCAGCGTTGCTGTTGAGCTGGGGTTAAACAGAAGCTTGTTTTACCCTAAACTTGAGCTCGGGTCTAGGTCTGCCAGGCAGTCTGACTGCTTCTGATTTAGTTCAGTGGTTTTTCCAGGGTTTGCATCTACTCCTGATTTGGGACCAGAACTCATATTTAGTAAAATGCTTCAAGTCCTTCAATCTCAAGGCTTTTTCCACTACACCCCTGCAAGATGACACAGCCCTGCAAGTCAGTGACCTACCAGCATGTGGGAGTAAAGTTTGGGTTTGGATGGGGTGGTGTTTGAACCAATGTCCCAGGACCTCCACTATTGGGTGTTTTAAAAAAGCAATGCCTTTACAGGGTACATTTTACCTCGCCTTCCCTTTTGAAGGGATCGCTTGCATGGTCTGTTCGTTTATACTTGTCCATCCTTGTCATCACAGAATCCCAGACCGTTAGGGGTTGGAAGGGACCTCCAAAGCTCATCCAGTCCAATCCCCCTGCCGGAGTAGGAACACCCAGATGAGGTTACACAGGAAGGCGTCCAGGCGGGTTTTGAATGTCTGCAGAGAAGGAGACTCCACAACCTCTCTGGGCAGCCTGGGCCAGTGCTCTGTCACCCTCACTGAGAAGAAGTTTCTTCTCCAATTGAAGTGGAACCTCCTGTGTTCCAGTTTGTGTCCGTTACCCCTTGTCCTATCATTGTTTGTCACCGAGAAGAGCCTGGCTCCATCCTCGTGACACTCACCCTTTAAATATTTATAAACATGAATGAGGTCTCCCCTCAGTCTCCTCTTCTGCAAACTAAAGAGCCCCAGCTCCCTCAGCCGCTCCTCATATGCTAAATATTCTCAGACATTGTAATGAAAAGCGTTCTCTAGCGAGGCAGAGAAGCAAAGCGCGTTGCCTCCTGCGTGGCTGTCGCCCCCGTGGTGCTTCAGGGCCGTGGTTTGTGTTGGCAGGTGGAGTACTGCCCCTGCGTGATAGCCAACGACTGCTGGAACCTGCTCATGGAGTTCATGCAGAGCTTCATGGGGAGCCACACTCCCGGCATCCCGTCCGTGTTCAGCACCAAGCACGACAGCGTCTACAGCCCCGCGGACACCATGGCTCAGTACATGGAGCTGTTCAACAAGATCCGCAAGCAGCAGCAGGTGCCCGTCGCGGGGATCCGATGAAAGGGCTCCTGGGAGCCCCGTCTGGAGCAGCTGCATCCTCCGTTCTGCCTGCCGGTGTGGATCAGGAGTCCCTCCAGAAAGCAGCATGGAGGCAGCCCAAGGGTTGTTTTTTTGTTCTTCTCAGTCTTTTTCCCCTGTTTCAAAGGTTTTGAGCGCTGTGCGTATTTCTCCTTGTCCTCCTTCATGTTTTTGGGCGTATCTGGAATCGGGCTCGTGGTTCTGATGGTTCTCGGCACAGCGCTTCATGCAGGGAGTTGATGCTCATCAGCAGGAGAGAAAAGGAGAAATTCCAGCCAGATGCATGCAAGGGCAGAGTTTCCTTGACTGCAAACAGCTACGTGAGAGACTTTTTTAATATACATATTTTTTTTTAGATACCCATGTGAAAGTATCTTGTTATTCTTCATCAAAATAAAAAGCCGTATTTTGGAAGGAGACGGAGTCTTTCTGCACAGCAAGCGTTGCGCTGGTTTCTATTGTGTGTTTACAGCTTTTGAAGTTTTCCGTTGCGTGGAGACCGTTCTTCAGCAGAGTTTTACCTTTGATTCGGTTCAAGAGCTTTATACCCCTGAAGCAAACTAATTTCCCTGTGGCAAAAGCTACAGGAATTCTCGCATTCCTATTATGGGTCCGTTCTTAGCTTACCTTCATCTTTCAGATCTGATGGGAGTATTAAAATCTCCTGTCTGTGAGGTGATACTGATGAAACCTCGTGATAAATAAATAAATAAGCCTGGCAGGAGCCCTCTCATGCACTGAAAGAGAATTTCAACTGCTTTATCTCATTGTTTGAAAGGTAGGCAGTAAACGTCCTACCCCTGCACACCACTTCTCATTTGAGAAATCCTGGTGACTTCAGCAGATTTAATAGAAAAAGGAAGGTTTTGGGGAATGAGAGACAAAAATTTATTGTAAGATGTAACAATTTGATATCACTTGAATATTTTTTTAGTAGTGATTTATTTTTACAGCAGGAAAACGAGGGAAATCAGATCCCTTTCGAGCTATGTGTCCCCTTAGTTCTACTTGTTCAGTATCTGTCTGGTTTGTAGCTGACATTTCTCACTCCTCCTCCTTGTTCTACCTGTGCTTGGTCTCAGAATACGCAGAAACGCCCTCATTCAGGCACCAACCTTTGCTCCGAGCTTCCTTCGTGGTTCCTGGCTGCGTGTAGCGGGGTTCCAGCTCTGCAGTTGTGTCCTGGACAGAAAGGGAAGGATGGGTTTAGGGAGGGAGATTTCTTCACGAGGAAACCATCGTCATTCTCACAAGCAGAGTACATCTTGCTCATAGAAAATACTGCTTCCTTGCCAATGCGTGGGTCTTGAAGAGTCAGCAAGCAGAGTATGTCTTGCTCATAGAAAATATTGTTTCCTTGCCAATGCGTGGGTCTTGAAGAGTCAGGAGAGCAAGAAAACAGAATTGGTTTCTGCTAACTGGATTTCTCCTGCTGCAGCAGTGGGGAGAAAAGCAGTAGTTTTGTTACTTGATTTGCTGGCTGGTGGAGAAGTGGTTATTTAGGTGTGACTTCTTTGTGATCATCATTTGTACCTGTAAACCTAATTAACTGTTAGAGTGCCTAGAGCTTTTGGAGCTTTTAGCGTTTAATACATTTAATAAGCACTGGGTCCAGAAAGATCTGGTTAATGAGCCATAATGAATGGCATAATGTACCATAAGTGCGTCAGGAATTCCAACATGCTGAATATACTGACTCTTTGCAACTCTTAGCTCAAGTCTGTGACACATGCTCTGACTTCAGAGGGACTATTAATTTTCAGTGATGAAAATTCAGTGAGAATCTGACCCCCTGTCATTCCACCTAGTTAAGTGTGGCTGGGAAAACTTAGGAAAACAAACTGTAGTCTTTGTAGGGTTGGTTATTTCTGTCCTGTTTCCCATTTTAAGTCTTAAGGTTAAAAAAAAAAAATACCTTTTAGTGATCAGATTCGTCATGGTAAACGTTGCTAATGCTTTATTAATTCCCGAAAGATGCTTTCTGTAACCAGAGATGTCAAAACTCTGGTCACATGTCTTAAAATGCGCGCTGGGCTCTCTGGGGACTTCTGTGCTCTTATTAATACATTGTACTGTTCCTGGAGTAATAAACCGGGACCCCTTGAGCTACATCCTGCCTTCAATTACACCATTACAGCCGCTGACGTCAGGCGGTTTCCACGGGTGTAAGCACGGGTAGGATTTAGCCCTTTATGTCTTAGCAAAAACGTCTGTTGCTGTAACTGCACTGCGTGGATGTGGGGATCGGCTGCCCCACATGAAGGGGCTGCTTTTGCTCTGGGCCTTTTTACTTCCTTGATGGACAAAATGAATGTTTTCCAATCTTATTAGCTGGACTAATCCTCCTTGTTCTGGCCCCCCAGCATCAGCGTGGCAGGTTAACGTGGCTTCGAATGTGCTAGCCTGCATCTTAACAAGTCTTCAGGGGGCATTCAGTTGTGTTACGTTAATGGATTGAGCCCGTGTAATTGAAAACCACCCTAATTTTGCCTGTCAAGGCATGGTCTGGAAGGTTTTCCTGTTGCTCCCCAGTGTTTTCTCAGTGAATGCAAGATCTGGAGGGAGAAGTGGCCAAGCTGTAGGCCTGTACAACCATGGAGCCTTTTTTCTGCTTCTGCACCTTTTGGACATCACTGGCAGTCTTGTTGCTTTCCGTGAGTTGAAGCCTGACCTAGAGGGGACTGGGGACCTTGGGGACGTGGGTCTTACCGTTGCATTGTTGTAGCTTTCCCCCTCCTAGCTCTGAAGTAGAGGCTGGGTGACGTTACCAGGGTCACCAGAGTTTCAGTGGTAGAGAGAGAGTCCAAGTCTCGCTGCCACCCTGGGGATACTGTGGGCTTTTGTTCTGCTCTGTGCGGTGGCATTTTTTATGAGGAAGTATGTACATAGCAGCTGCACCCTGCTAAGCTTTACAAAAAGAGTAAGGACATAAGGGCCTCGTTAATCTTCAGTTTTAATTCTTAGCAGACATTACAGACTTGTGGGCTCATTCCAGCGGGGAACTGTGGAAGAGTTGAGAGGTGTGTGACTGTGGATTTCTGTGCAGGTATGGGTTCAAACCAGACCAGCCACTGGTCGAAAAGGGAAGGCGTAGAGAAAGGATGATAAAACTCACAGGAAATGGAATTTGTGGGAACGCTGGCGGGTGAAGGAGCTCACAAAGGAGACCATGGTTGTGGGGTGTCCTTGTGCCATGGCAGAAGAAAGCAGGCTCCCACCTGTGGCAGTAAATTACAGTGCTTTACCTCAAAACTTACTGGGACAAGAATGGAGGGGTGGAGGAACACTTTGTCCCTGTGCAAAGGAATCATGTCCGTGACACCACTGACCTGTGCTTCGTCTCATCGGTGCCATGTAGTCCACGAGCGCTTGCTTGCAGCTTTGCCTCTGCTCAGTGCTGCCCAGAGCAGGACTCGCCGCTCCCCAACGGTACCTCCTGCAGGCTGCAAAAAAGTGAGTTGTCCCTGTGGGTGTGGGTGACCCCCGAGTGTGGCTGTCCCTTGCTGGGGACAAGCTTCTCCCCCAGCCCCAGTGCTGAGGTCCTTTGTCTCTGCTAAAACACATTTCCATCCCCTCATGGCTCCTAGTGTGTGACCTAGGGGCCTTTGAGTGACTTCTGGCAAGGGCCATTATGGTTCAGGGCCCCTTGTCTGCCATCATCTGCTGTCTGGCCCTGTGGGGTGCCCATCCCCATCACCTCGGGGCCACTCTGCCACCTTAGGGGCCCCGTGGGGTGCCTTATGCCCCGTCACCTCAGGGGCCCTGTGGGGTATCTCCCACCCCACACAGTCACCTCAGGGGTCCCGCGGGAACGCGCCACCTCTCGTGCTGCCCCTTTAAGAGTCTCTTTGTCTCCGAAACATCATTATTTACCCTCCTGTGACTCAACCAAACTTCAGCCTAGGATTCACAAAGCCCGGTACGTCACCGGCCGGGGCCGGGCCCGGGCCGTCCCCGCCCCTCGGCGCTGCCCTC